TTCACTTCACTTCATGGTTCTTTTTCCTTTCTCCATTTCATGGGCTTATTTTCACAGGCTTTACAGTGAGTATGTGCCAAAGAACAAAGGGAGGAGGGACTGAAAGTCTCTGTGTCACCTTAGGGAATGTGCATTTGCCCCTCCCCTGGTGGCACTCGGTCCCTCTCTCTCTCTGAGGGGCAGAGAGAGAGGGAGACTTAGAATCCAAAACAGGCTCCAGGCTCTAGGCTGTCAGCACAGAGCCTGATGCAGGGCTCGAAGTCACAAACCATAATATCATGACCTGAGCCAGTGGATGCTGAACTGACTGAGCCACCCAGATACCCCTTAAATGCTAGGTTCTTAAGAGTTCTATACTAGGCCCCTTCTCTTCTTTCTCTGTACTCTCTCCTTTAGTGACTTCATCCATTCCCATTGTCTTTAAAATGCTGAAAACTCCCAGACAGAAATCTATAGTGCAGACCCCAGGACTATGATTTCATAGGCCCAACTGCTTCCTACACATTTCCACTTGGTAGTTTCATAGGCATCTCAGAATCAAGGAAATCTCAGTTCCCACCCAGACTGTACACCTATTCCTCTCCAGTTATCCCCAATTAAATAATGGCATTCCTTTCTATACACCTGGTCAAACCAGGAACCTGGGAATGAGCATTCTTGATTCCTTCCTCTTCCTTAGCTTTCACGTCCGATCTAACAGTAAATCCTATCCATTCTAGAGAAATCTGTCCACTTCTTGCCATGTCCCCTGGCCTAGGTCCAAGCTACCACCTTTGGCCCCTAAATCACTACAACAGCCTCCTAACCAATCCCTTACTTCTGCTTTGTCAAAGTCTCCAATAATTCTCCACAAAGCCACCAAGTCATCTTTTAAAAACGTAAAAAGAAACATGCCAGATCTCTTAAGTCTCATAGGACATCCTGATGTACCAACAATAAACACTACACTTATCTTGGTCTAAAAGGCCCTGAATGATCAGGCCCAGCTAACCTCTCCAAACTCATCTCTCCTTGCCTCTCCTCTCCTCTCAGCTCCCCTCCCGTCTCCCACTCTCTCTTTTCAGATCCTTAATCACACAAAGCTCTCTTTCAGTCTCAGGGCATCTGCACACGCTGTTCCCTCTGCCTGGAATGAGTGCTTTTTCTGCCCCTACTCTTCAAATCGTTGCTTTTTCTCATCTACCAGGCATCAACTTAAATGTTAACTCATTTAAGCAGAAGCAGGTGCCCGACTACTTTTTTTAATCATAGAAGCCTGTTCATTTCTTAGCTGGTAATTCTCATCTTATAATCATTTGACTATTCATTTTGTATTTGTGACAATGTGATCTATGTCTGTTTCATTCACAACTAAATAGTCAGTGACTAGCACTTAATAACTGCTTGATATTTTTTGAAAAAGGTTAAATGTGAATTAAAGAATATTGTTTTACCCATGTCATCATCAATCACATAACAGGGCCTATGAAGTGCTATCTCCAACTGAAGCTAGATTCAGAGAACTGGCCTCAGAGCCCAATATGGGCACAGGAAGTATACCTGCAACTACAGAAATGACTGACTCCTATACCACAGCAAGCCAAAGGAGAATTTAATCTTTGGGCAAGTTGTTCAAATGACAGTCTCACCGGCAGCTGTTATTATTAATACAAATTTACATAAATCATTCTTTAGATATGACACACATTTTCTCACTTGGTTCTCCTAATATCCTGGTGAGACAAAAGAGATATTATAGTTTTTTTACATACAAGAAAGAGAGTTATATCGTAATATCACTTAGCAAATGGCAGAGAATGGATCCTAATCCGACTCCCAATCCTTTTCCTCTATTCAAATCTTTTCCCTCCATCACTTTGCTCCCTTTGCTGGCTACTGAGATTTGTGTTGTGGGGAAACTTTATCATGAGTGAAACTGTTCCCAGGACTCTGACGCTGGTTCTTGTTCAGGGTCTTAATCTGCTTTACTTTACACCTCAAGTAGTTTATCTGTCGGTGAAATACTGACCATAAAAGATGTTGCTACAGATTTTCTTTTCTTTTTTTAAACATTTTATTTTATTTTATTTTAACGTTTATTTATTTTTGAGACAGAGAGAGAGCATGAACCGGGGAGGGTCAGAGAGAGGGAGACACAGAATCCGAAACAGGCTTCAGGCTCTGAGCTGTCAGCACAGAGCCCGACGCGGGGCTCAAACCCAGGGACCACGAGATCATGACCTGAGCCGAAGTCAGCCGCCCAACTGACTGAGCCACCCAGGCGCCCCCAGATTTTCTTATTAACAGTTTTAGTGTAAAAAGGTTAGAATTCCAAAATATCCAGTGATTTTCATTAGTCATAGGCCATAATGTTTTGTATCTGAGAATCTTTAGACAAATAGTGCTAATAATCATTAACTGGGGGTAAGGAAGTTAATATCTGCACATGAGAATTAAAATTCAATGTTCCAGTCTTTTAAGCGAAGAGAATAAATGGCAGACTCGGCCCTCTACCTGATGGGCAGGTTCAGGACACATGTGACGCTGAAAATTGGTCAGTGAAAAGCCTGTCTCACCCTGAGGAGTTGTTTAGGAAACTAGAACCTCGGTAGTTTGCTTCTCTGGATGCTTAACTTTAATCTGTATATGATCTGCCCACTGAACTCTTCAATGGTTTTAAACACCGCCTCTCATGGGCAGTGTTACAATGCACTAATAACCAAGACTTTAAGGCGACAATTAAACACACCTGACAGCACAGCGGATTCACCTGAGTTTTATGGGCTATCCGCTATTGAGGACATCAGTTTTCCCCAAGTTGAAAAGAAAAAGAAATAACTATGCCCAACAGATGCTGGAGCAAAAGGAATAAACTTCTGTACTCTGTACTCTCTAGAAATAAAGTAAATGCTCTCCAAGAAATTTTTACAACAACCTCTTCGGTGAAAATTAAAAAATTTCTCAACGCCTCGGTTTAGAGTAGTTTCCGTGGGGGGGGGGGGGGCAGAAAGAAGGTGGCGGGCCAGATTTACTGTGTAGGGAGGAGCTGGACAGGGCGCCGCGTTTCCCAGCCTCACTTTGCCGGAACGCCAACCAACCCCCACCTGCACCCGGCGGACGCCCAGCCCCCGCCACCTCCCGCCCCCGCATTACCCGCGCCCGCGCCGGCCGCACTTCCTTCTCCTCCTCTTCGTCTTTCTCCTCCTCCACGGCCTCCGCCCCCAGAGCCTCTAAAGGTTCTTCGCGTTCGTACTGGGCGACCTGCGCTCCGGTGCTGGGATTTACCGGGGTTTGGAGACTGGAGGCCGCCAGCGTCGCCGCTCGGTGTGAGGCGGCCATTGCCTCCCCGCTGAGGCCTGTGCGCCCGCGCGGGCCTGCAGTGGGGAAGCTGGCTCGGCCTCCGGCAACCGGGCGGCTCCTTGGGGCGGGCGGTTACTAAGGGCTCGGTAACTAGGGACGCTACAGGGACCGCCAGGGGCCAAAAGGCCTTCAAACTTCCCTCTGGCTGCGGGAAACCCGAGATGAGCGTCTCTGGATAGTGGGAGTGAGTACTAAATCTTTGAAGGTTTAGAGGGTTGGCGGGCAGAACAGGGCACCTCTTCGCCAGCTTCGCGCTTCACCGCCTAAATGCACACTTCTCACATTACACCAATGAACCAGCTCGTTTTGTAGGAAAAAAAAAAAGCGCATTTTCATTCATTGAAATAACACTTTAGGAGGAGACGGCGTCTGAAGAGGAAAGCAGATGTTATTGTGTGGCAATCTCAGAACAGAGGCAAGGTTTGCATCTGTTAATCTAACATGGCTCCCCTGGGAGCCAGAGACTGGGAAGGACTGAGGTATATTCTACTTTGATTGACTTGAGCGCTAGCAGCAATCAACCAATCCGAAGGAGGCTTCTAGTTACCACATGGGTTTTTTTCTTGGTTTGACCAATAAAAGTCCAGAGTTGGGTGGGGCCTGGCCCACCAAACAGTGAGTGGTAGTGTAGGTGTAGGAACCAGGTGTTCGCTGGTTGGTTCCATCCCCTTCATCGTGGTGGGGTTGAAGGGTGCAAACGCCGAACACTAACCACAAACACACCCCATCAACAGCTCCCACTTGGTATTTGGGCATTTCAAATGGTGACTTCCCTCTACGTCAGGTGGCTGTAAGAGAGGCCTAGCCTTAAAATAGGTGTGTTGAAGTCTAAGTCCCTACTACCTCAGTCTGAGGCTGCTCCTACCCTCACCTCCCTATCCTTCAGCCTCCTTCAGCCTCCTTCAGCCCCAGCCCTACAACCAGCCATAGCCACCATGAAGTTAAGGTATAGTGATAACTAGAACCTACGTATCTCCAAGGTCTGAGCCCTGTTTTTTAATCTTTTCTTTCTTTCCTTCATTCCTTCCTTTTTCTTTTTCTTCCTTCCTCCCTTCCTTCCTTCCTTTCTTCTTTCTTTCTTTCTTTCTTTCTTTCTTTCTTTCTTTCTTTCTTTCTTTCTTTCTACCAAGCTTTACACCCATCATGGGGCTTGAACTCATGACCCCAAGATAAAGAGTGGCAGGCTCTCCTTACTGAGCCAGTGCCCCTGAACCCTTTTTTACCAAGCCTTTCTTGTTGACAGGGCTGGAGTGTGAGCACCTGCAAAATCCCCCACTTTCCCACCTCCTTCAGGCTGTTCTTTGTTTTGGCTAAGACTTGCTTTGCACACTGGAACAGATGCTGGCTGGATTCTGAGCAGAAGCCAGAGCTAGAAGCTCATAAGGTATGGACGCCCCAAGTGACCAGAATAGGGACTTCTAGTCATTCGCATGCAGATGGTTCTATGGCCACAGGTGCCCCTTTCGGGATTTAGTGTAAGCCTGACCCCAAACAGCAAGACAAGACTCCATACCGAAGCACGGCAAGTGGAAGATTAGAATATAATAGAAGGAATGAGTGTGGAGGACACTGTCATGTATCTAAGTAGAAGAGCGGAAAAGTTTCCACTCACCAACAATATTCTAAATTTGAAGATATATAATGATATAGCTGCAAAGTATATAGAGCAGAAATGGACAGACAGATCTACAAGAACAGAATAACAAATCTTACATCATCACAAGAAGAACTTTCATACTTTTGTATTGAGAGGTAACCTACCTAGTGAAGAGAATAGATCTTAATGCATAGTTGGATGAATTTTGACAAGTGCATACACTCATGAAATCGTACCCCTATTAAGATATAGAACATTTCCATCATCCCAGAAAGCTCTCTTGTGCCCCTTCCCAGCCTATTGTCCATTCCATCCCCTTGACTGTTCTAGAACTTCATATAAATGGAATCATAAAGTATGTACTCTTTTGGGCTTTCAGAGTTTTTGCTCAGCATACTAATTTCTTTTTATATTCATTCATGTTGTGTATATGAGCAGTCTGTTCCTTTTAAAGTGCTGAATAGTATTTCTTACTGAAAGAGACAATAGTTTTCCAATACTGGAAGTATTTTCATTTTTAAATTTTTTTGTGCTGTCCATAATGTAATAGTTACAGATAAGGAATATTCTTAAATTTAATCTGCACTATTAGCATTGTCTTTTTTCACTTTTTAGGGGTTGTTTTTTTTTTTTTTTTGAATAAATTTGTATGCTTTTCTTTTTTTCCTAAATGTTTATTTTGAGAGAGAGAGCATGAGCAGGACAGGGACAGAGGGAGAGAGAGGGAGAGAGAGAATCCCAAGCAGGCTCCTCGCTGTCAGCGCAGAGCCTGACTTGGGGCTTGATCCCCCAAACCATGAGATCATGACCTGAGCTGAAATCATTCAACAGTCAGACACCCAACCATCTTAATCATCCAGGAACCCCTCTTTTTCACTTTTTAAAGTTTATCCATTTACCTGTTGATGGTTACTTGGGTTGTTTCTTTTTTTTTTTTTTTTTTTTTTTTTTTTCTCTCCTAGTTTGGTTCTTACAAGAAGCAGACACCAAAAAGGAGTTAGAAATGCAAGAGATTTACTGGGAAAATTCCTATGAAAGATAAAAGGAGTAGGAAAAGTCTTCAGGCCAAGATACAATCTGATACTTTAGGAAAGAGCAGGAAAGGAGAATAATTATGTAGGAGGAGTTTAAAACTGCAGTGTAATGCTAAGAAAGTCTTAGCCAGCTAAAAAGAGAGCTCCAGCATAAAGATTGTTCATGGAAGAGTTCTACAATGGTCAGAAATGACCAGACCCCACTAGTCCTGCCATCTCAATCATTGGCTAGAGCTCCCTGGAAAGAGCATGTTTTGGGATCGAACACTTTGGAGAATCGTTAAGTGCCATGGCTGGCTGCCAGCTGTCAGGAGTGGAATGCTGATAAATGGTTAATGACTACCTGTCCGGGGGAAGGTGAGTAAGTGATTGAGCGTGTGTGTGTGTGTGCGTGTGTGTGTTTTACAACTTTTATAAATTACAGTCCTGCATTGAGCAAGTCTGTCAGCCATCTTCCAACAGCATTTGCTCACTTCCTATCTCTATGTGTCACATTTTGGTGGTTCTCACAATATGTCAAACTTTTAAAACTATTATATTTGTTATGGTGATCTGTGATCAGTGATTATAACTCCATGAAACCTCAGATGACGGTTAGCATTTTTTAGCAATAAAGTATTTTTTAATTAAGGTATATACTTTTTAAAAGACATAATGCTATTGCATACTTAATAGACTACAGTATGATGTAAATATAACTTTTATTTATTTATTTAAATAAAACTTTTATATGTACTAGGTAGGAAACCAAAAAATTCATATGACTTGCTTTATTTTATTTTATTTTAATTTTTTTTTAACGTTTTTATTTATTTTTGAGACAGAGAGAGACAGAGCATGAACGGGGGAGGGACAGAGAGAGAGGGAGACACAGAATCGGAAGCAGGCTCCAGGCTCTGAGCCATCAGCCCAGAGACTGACGCGGGGCTCGAACTCACGGACCGTGAGATTGTGACCTGAGTTGAAGTCGGACGCTCAACCGACTGAGCCTCCCAGGTGCCTCGCTTTATTTTATTTTAAGATTTGCTTTTTGCAGTGGTCTGGAACCAAACCACCAATATCTCCAAGGTATGCCTGTATAAAGGGTTGTAGCCCATAACTTCTAAATAAAATACACTATACTCTTTAATATTACTTTCATTTTTTTTCATATTGAATTCTTTTTATTTACTATTAGTATTTTTAAATTTACATTCAAGTTAGTTATCATATAGTGCAACAATGATTTCAGGAGTAGATTCCATAATGCCCCTTACCCATTTAGCCCATGCCCCCTCCCACAACCCCTCCAGTAACCCTCTGTTTGTTCTCCATATTCAAGAGTCTCTTATGTTTTTTCCCCTCCCTGTTTTCATATTCTTTTTGCTTCCCTTCCCTTGTGTTCATCTGTTTTGTATCCTAAAGTCCTCATATGAGTGAATTCATGTGATATTTATCTTTCTGACTAATTTCACTTAGCATAATACCCTCTAGTTCCATCCATGTAGTTGCAAATGGCAAGATTTCATTCTTTTTGATTGCTGCGTAATACTCCATTGTGTGTGTGTGTGTATACACCACATCTTCTTTATCCATTCATCCATTGATGGACATTTGGGCTCTTTCCATACTTTGGCTATTGTCTGTAGTGCTGCTATAAACATTGGGGTGCATGTACCCCTTCGAAACAGCACACCTGTATCCCTTGGATAAATACCTAGTAGTGCAATTGCTGGGTTATAGGGTAGTTCTATTTTTAATTGAGGAACCTCTGTACTGTTTTCCAGAGTGGCTGCACCAGTTTGCATTCCCACCAGCAGTGCAAAAGATATCCCGTCTCCCCGCATCCTTGTCAACATCTGTTCTTGCCTAAGTTGTTAATGTTAGCGATTCTGACAGGTGTGAGGTGGTATCTCATTGCGGTCTTGATTTGTATTTCCCTGATGAGTGAAGTTGAGCATTTTTTCATGTGTCTGTTGGCCATCTGGATGTCTTCTTTGGAGATGTGTCTATTCATGTCTTTTGCCCATTTCTTCCCTGGATTATTTGGTTTTTGGGTGTTTGATAAGTTCTTTACAGATTTTGGATACTAACCCTTTATCTGATAGGTCGTTTGCAAATATCTGCTCCCATTCCGTCGGTTGCCTTTTAGTTTTGCTGATTGTTTCCTTAGCTGTGCAGAAGATTTTTTATTTAATGAGGTCCCAATAGATCATTTTTGCTTTTGTTTCCCTTGCCTCTGGAGACGTGTTGAGTAAGAAGTTGCTGAGGCAAAGGTCAAAGAGGTTTCACGTGCTTTCTCGTCAAGGATTTTCATGGCTTCCTGTCTTACGTTCAGGTCTTTCATCCGTTTTGAGTTTATTTTTGTG